AACAGTTGGGCGCGTCGGCCTCTTCCGAGGGCCGCTGGAGGGTCTGCAGCGTTTCCCGGGGGAGCCGCGGGGTCGGGAATGCACCGAGCGGCTGGATTCCTCACTCTGTGGCCCCCCACCCCTCACCCCCGAGCCCCAACACTCCAGCCTGTTGCTTCGTCCCCACCCCCTCCGCTCCAGATCGGCTTTTCCCGGCAACTCCAGTGTGACTTCCAAACTCCTGGCCCCCGTGCTCACCTCGGGATCTGCCTCCGCCTCCCGCCTGCTCCCCGAGGGCCTCAGGAAGTCGCCAGAGCCCCAGTCTTCGCCCGAGAAGTGCACTCCGGACCGCGGGCAGCGCTGCCGGCGGGGGGCCAGCCCGCGGCGATGAAGCCGTCCTGGCTGCAGTGTCGCAAAGTCACCGGCGCCGGGGGACTCGGGGGGCCCCTGCCCGGGTCCTCGCCGGCCCGGGGCGCGGGCACTGCCCGCAGGGCTTACTTGGCCCCCGGCCCGCGGGGCGCGCTCGGGGGTCGGGGCTGCCGAGCGCTGTCGTCGGCCGGCGGTGGCGGCGAGTACAAGACCCACTTCGCGGCCTCGGTGGCCGACCCCGAGAGGTTCTGGGGCAAAGCCGCCGAGCAGATCAGCTGGTACAAGCCCTGGACCAAAACGCTGGAGAACAGATACCCGCCTTCCACCAGTTGGTGAGTGCCTCCTTCGCCTAGCCAGAGCTCTCACGACTTTTGGGCGATAGGGCTTATCGTCCCTTTCTCTGGGAATCCGGCCTTGTGTCAGGACAGGAAATCAAGAGCGGAGACGTGTTCAGATCTTTTCATTCGAATCTCATTTAGTTCCAGAGTCAACTCTCCTCCCTTCTCTTGAGGAATTCGCTTACCCATTATGAGCCGAGCTTCCTATAGACCAGTATGGCAGGACTCCACTTGTCATTGGAGATGTTCCACGGTCAAAAACAAGGGTCTGTCTCCACGGACAGCACTGTCTAGTGTAGGAGACAACCACGGAAACAAATAGGGCAGTACTGTCAAGTGCCCTATACTGCAGGGAGGAAGAGATTTGAGGAAAGACTTCAATAAAATCACACCTAAGTAGGGTCTGGAAGTATGGTTATATCTTCTCAAGGTCGGCAAATACCTAATTATTAAGACCAGGAGGTGGCTGAAATTTGGCTGGTAACCGTGGTTGCAAATAATTGTGTTGACCGGAGAGGTGGGAGAGTGGGCTGGCTGGTGAGTCAAGGGTTGGGAGGGGAAGGGATTTCTGTGTGTTGACCAGTAGATTGGGTTAGATCCATAGCCCTGTCGTGTATAGGGAGCTGTGATATGAGGTTCTCCAAAATTATGCACATATAGCCAGGTAGTGCTAGAAATCATGGTAGGAATACAATTTTTTTTTGTCTGCAGTTGCAATTATAAGTAGTTATACACATCAGTTTTGCATTACAACAAAACAGATACATTGTAGAATAAATGCCAGACTTGCCGGAATAGTAAGGGTGAGGCACATAGCTATGAGAGCTCGGAGTTCTGGGTGTTCTTTAGGCTATGTGCCTAATCCTTAAAAACGTGTTTGCTCTCATCTGCCAGCCATTAGGGAGAGTTGTTTCTTGTAAAAGTTTGAGAAACACTACAGTGGAGTTTCCCAAATTTCCAAATTCCCAGCAGTGAGTTGGGGGAATGACACAATCAGGTTTGCATTTGACAAATGTCTCCTTGTTGAGAGCAGGGGAGATGGAATGGAGAAAGGCCAAGCCAATCAGAGTCTGTTCTATATTGTCACTATGCCTGGTTCTCTCTTCAATGTTTGGAATATTTACGTTGTTTTCCTTTAGAATCTGAACACATGTTCTCTTCTAGTTCAGTTGTTTCAGTGGTGTTCGACTAACCCTTTTTAACAGGGCCAACAGTGGTTCAAGCACTGTGTGTATGCCCATGAGTAATATAAGACCCCTGCTTTTTGGGAATCATGGTGACTAACCGCATGGTCTGTGGAGCCAGAATACTGGGTTTGAGCTCTGGCTCTCCCAGTTACTGGCAGTGTGTTCACAGCCAAGTTATTTAATCTCTGCTTCCATTTCTTTATATATAAATGTGGAAATAGTATGAGGATTAAGACCGAAGACCATGTCTTGGATGAAATAGACCTTATTAAATGTTGGAGGAAGAGTAGCTAGCTATCTTTGCACTCTTAAACCACAATTATTTCAGGAGCAGAAAACCCTCTTTGTGTTTCTCAGATCAAAACAGAAATTAAATAACTTTCCTAAGTGTGTATTCTCAAAGGTCTGTGTCTGCATATCTGTCCTAAGGTGTGGTACTGAAATTATTTATGTGACCCTCCCCTCCCCTTAAAACCATGTGCAGAGAAGTTAGTTTTTCCAAGTAAAAACCAATGGGGGCCAGATGTAAGGCAGTGACAGTGGCAATGAAAGGGAAAGGACAGATTGTTAGAGGCTTGGTTGGGGTTGGCAAGGGCCTAGGTGAGTGCAGAGAATGCAGAAATCAAAAGTTCATCAAGTAGACATTTTAGACCTAGAGGTTTTCTTTCTGTTTTTTTTTTTCTTCTTAATCTTTAATTCCTCGCCTAAATTTTCTAAAATTGTGTGCATAAAATGTTTTTAATGAGAATTTTTGCCAAAAGGTCTTTGTATTTTTAAAACTTCAGTACATTGTAGATCACTGATTTTTGATAATACTGTAGCTGAACTCTTCATCTTTGAGCTCTTGGAATTGGAATCGCATGGCCAAACCTGTTTACAGCAGCCCAAAAGATCAAAGTGAACAAAGATAAGTCTTTGACTTTGTATTTATTTCAGAAGAGTGATTCAATCTTACTAAAAATTTTGGTTGGCAGAGCAGATTTGGGCAGGGAAATCGAGGTGGAAGATCACATATCTAATCTTAAACTTCATCAATAAGACTTTTCATTTTCAAGTAGAATCCATTGCTGTGTTGGACACTTATTTGCAGACACTCCTCATTGGTTAACAGTTTTCTATAAAGCTAAATTCAAGGGCAGGATGAAATGTCTCTCTCTCTCTCTCTCTCTCTTTTTATCTTTATATCCCTAGGGTCTAGGGCAGAGCTGACATATGAGTTTAAAAAATTATAGTAAAGTAACAGAATGCATAGATTTGCTGATTTTTGCTACTATATGTCTTTGGAAGATAGTAAGAGGATATAGGCACAATTTGATGTGAAAGAGATTTGCTTATTTTCTTCGAAGCTGGGGTCTTGGAAATGTGGATGTGGGTAGCCAAATCTTTAAGAAAACTGAGGAGTTCATAGGGTGCTGTAGCTAACTTCTATATGGAGCTGACATACAGGGAGTCAAGATCTCTGATGCCCTTTGGCTTCTCTTTTTTCATTATAATCTTGTCTGTTTGTTTTTCATGAAAGTAAACTCCGCTCAGAATCTGCAGGCCTATCAGAAGCTCCAACACATAAATAGTAATGCATATTAGCTTTCACAGTGGCATAAACTACCCCATGGTAATTTACATATGCAGGAGTATAAACATGGGATAGAAATCTCTTTTTTTTTGTCAAGTTAGCTAACATACAGTGTAGTCTTGGCTTCAGGAGTAGATTCCCATAATTCATCACTTATATATAACACCAAGTGCCCATCCCAACAAGTACCCTCCTCAATGCCCATCACCCATTGTCCCCATCCCCCACCGAACCTGCATGCCCATCAACCCTCAGTTTGTTGTCTGAATTTAAGAGTCTCTTATGGTTTGCCTCCCTCTCTGTTTGTGTCTTATTTTTCCTTCCCTTCCCCCATGGTCTTCTGTTAAGTTTCTCAAATTCCAAATATGAGTGAAAACATATGATATCTGTCTTTCTCTGACAGACTTATTTCACTTAGCATAATACCCTCCAGTTTCATCCACATTGTTGCAAATGGCAGATTTCATTCTTTCTCATTGCTGAGTAGTATTCCATTGTATGTATAAACCACATCTTCTTTATCCATTCATCAGTTGATGGACATTTGGGCTCTTTCCATAATTTGACTATTGTTGGTAGCACTGTTATAAACATTTGGGTATGCGTGTCCCTACAAATCAGCACTCCCATATCCTTTGGATAAATTCCTAGTAGTGCTATTGCTGGGTCATAGGGTAATTCTATTTTTAATTTTTTTAAGGAACCTCCACACTGTTTTCCAGAGCAGCCATACCAGTTTGCATCCCCACCAACAGTGCAAAAGTGTTCCTGTTTCTCCACATCCTTGCCAACATCTGTTGTTTCCTGAATTGTTAATTTTAGCCACTCTTAGCAGTGTGAGGTGGTATCTCAATGTGGTTTTGATTTGTATTTCAACATGGGATAGAAATCGTTAAGGGTGATAGACTGAAGGAACTTTCCACTGAAGTCAATAGCCCTGTAAAATATATTTCTTTTAAAAATTTTTTTAATGTTTATTTTTGAAAGAGAGAGAGAGAAAGAGAGAAGAGAGAGTGTTGGGGAGGGGCAGGGAGAGATGGAGGCACAGATTCCAAAGAGCCTGATGAGGGGCTTGGACCCGTGAGCCATGAGATCATGACCTGACCTAAAATCGGATGCTCAACTGACTGAACCACCCAGATGCCCCAATACACTTCTGGTACTGTAATCTCTACAATCTTTGGAAAATAAATCCCAGTTATATGTAGGTGCTTTAGGAAGTTGTGAAGAACCACCTTTTTCTCAGTTTGGTGGTTAATTCACATTGTTGACACCTGGTTTCTGTGGTGATGAAATATCTATTTCAGAGACTTTAGTGGAAAACTATAGCCAAAGGGGAAGCAATTAGAATTCCTAGTAGTTTCTCTAATCCTGAAACAACAAAATGGATGTTTGGTTAGTTTCTCCTCAAGAATTAGGCATCCTGCTGCCTATCCTGAAGTTGAAATCGAGCTGCCACTCTGTGATATAAAGATTAGTCAATCTACTTTTGCATTACACATTGTGGTTGACTCTTCTGTCTAGTTCATCAATTTATTCCTTTCTATGGAAGCATTACAATCCCATTTTTGTTTATTTTTATTTAAACAATGTTCCATGATAAGACTCTCATATACTATTTGATTTAGAATTTAATATTTATTAACAGTGACTATAAGCTGAAAAGGAAAGACTCCAACTTAATGCAGATTATTAGAAAATGGTTTCAGGTTGGTTAACATTTCTATAATGGAGTATAGTTTTTTCAACATGCAAGATCTCACTTACTAGCTATGAGATAAAGGTTGTTTAATCCCTCCAAGTCTTTTTTTTTTTTTTTAATTTTTTTTTTTCAATGTTTATTTATTTTTGGGACAGAGAGAGACAGAGCATGAACGGGCGAGGGGCAGAGAGAGAGGGAGACACAGAATCGGAAACAGGCTCCAGGCTCTGAGCCATCAGCCCAGAGCCCGACGCAGGGCTCGAACTCACGGACCGCGAGATCGTGACCTGGCTGAAGTCGACGCTTAACTGACTGCGCCACCCAGGCGCCCCTAATCCCTCCAAGTCTTAAAATGGTTCATAGAGTTAAAGATATCAATCATTAACTTACTGTGTGGATAATACAGAGAAAATTGTGGAAAAGGTAGTGAAGAAACTCACCACATAGTAGCAGGGGGGACATATATTGACTAAACTATCACAGAGCTATTTATTTAGAATTGCAGTACATACTATTCAGTACGATGGTTAGT